GATGTTTCCCCCCGAGCGGACCGACGATGGCGCCCATGACAACCGATGGCCAGCAAGCCCGTGCACATCAACTTGAACAATGAGGCCACGAATAAAACATCTCTATAAGGGAATCTCTCCACGGTGTGCACACCCTTGAGGAGAGCTGAGGGGACGATCGGCCCCGCTAAGCCGTGGGCCTGCTGGCCAACACTGAAGCCACCCCATCGGAGGAAAAAGAGCTGCTCTCTCTCTCTCTCTCGCGGGCAGGTGCCCTGAGGATCATCAGAAACCCGCGGCGGGACAAGCAAGCGCCAAACATAAAAATCTTCGATGCTCCGTACCGCTCAGACCGAGGGCTTGTCTCTTCAGCAGGCCAAAGGACACTGGCGGAACACTGCCTGGGGAATCAAAACCTGGGGCGACCAAGACACCCGCGAGACAGGAAGAGAGCAAGAGAGCGGCTTTCGGGGCACCCGACCAGCAAAGTGCAGGGGCCTGAAGGAAATCAGGGTTAGACATCGGAACCGAGGCCCTTCTCTAAATGACGGAAATCGGCATGGGGCGAACGTCGAAATTCAGGGCATACGGCATAATGCCCAATGGAATCCATTGCCCCGAGACTGCCACAATTCCAGCAACACCGTTCAGGCCCGCGATGGAACCTAGCGCCAGTACATACTCCTCTAATCAAGACACGAAAAATAGCCAGCCCAAGGTAGAAAAAACCGTCTTCCGTAACCCATCCTGTAGTCCACTCCGCCACCCCGCATCTGGAGACAGCGCACGGGGGCGGGGGGGGGGGGGTGCTGGACGGGCCCTCAAAATACAGGTAAGTTTTGTTTGGGAATCCCGCCGCCTGGCGACATCCAGAGCAGAGACGAACGTGCCCACTCCATGTACCAATCAAGGTGCGACTGGATGTCTTCTCCCACCATGGGTGCCTCATCCGTGCAGGGTGGAACTAATCCTGCCAGACCATTCCGCACATCCCATGGCGAATCCTATTAAAGATCCCACTCCTGTGGGCCAACCGTGCTTGCGTTGCGGTTCAAATCTTCGACACATGAAGAAATTCCAGGCTCAATCTAAGGTCGCACAAACGCGCGCACATAACTCGATTGAAAGCAAACCGAGGAGCAGCCATGATATTCTGATGCGCGTTGCCTCCACACCTGAATACTTCCCGAGACAGAGGGTAATACTGCATAACAAACCGAAGAACTGCAAAACTAACGTGCGTGCGAATCGTCATAGCCAACCCAAACCGCAATCAACGTATTTCAGTACACCTCCGATAGTACTTCCCAAGAACACTCCCCCAGGCATGTTTCCACCCGTCGGGCCCATCCTGAATGCCGAGGTGACGGACATGCCGAGCCACGGAAATCGAAGAGACCCCAGGGCCCGGCCCTCCGAGAAGCTTCTGAATGTGGCGAACCGCCCGCTCGTTAAGGTGAAGACCACAATCAACGCACATTTCCTGAGATTCGGTGCGGAGGGTCGAGCTTCTGCAGGAGAGGCAAGAATAGAGGTAACTCCACGACCGCATCTCTAAGCCCAAAAACCAGAGATCACCAGCATGCGCAACAATCTGCCAAGGAGGAGGGTGCGAGGGCCATCGCAAGCAAGGACCAAGTGACTGAACGCATAAGGGCACGCTGGAAAGGCACCCGCGACGCACGCCCCGACGAAGATGAATGGCCATGTGCCACTTGCCTCCAAAACAAATCGCCCCAATAGAATACAGTCCCGCGAAGAAACCGATGGCCCCGGGGGGGATCCGCGTGGCCGCCAGGGCCCGAAGAAGCCAGAGCATAGCGATGCTCGGGAAGGCAGCCGCAACGCTGGCCAGGAGCACGCAGGCCATGTTCCGACCCGGCATGAATTATTGAATGCCCCATGCTACAACTTCCAAGATCTGATCAGCCATAGAGCGACCGCGAATGCGCGCTTGGACGCGGCGCGCTGCTCCTTGCGCCTCCTCCTGGAACCGCCAAGAGAACGCAGGATGCATGATCTTGCAATCAGCGTCGGCCACGGCAAGAGAGCGACATGCACTTGGATATCGAGAGGGCGAGGTCCTCGCGGCAACAGGCAGACCAACGCCGCGAAAGTCAATCGGATGACAGTAGAAATCACGGAGGACAGCGAGCGGGATGGGAGATTTCCAGCAAGAGTAGACAACGCCATCTGGCCCGCATCGCGTCATGCCGCCCTCTCACGAGCTTTTCAAACTCTTCAATATCCACGATCCAGCGTCTAGGAGGGAGGTCCGAGACGGGAACGGCATGGCCCTGAAGCTCAGTCCGGGGCGAAACCTCACATTCGCGAGCTCCAAAGACAACCTCTCAACGACGAGCAAGCTCATCCCCCGCCTGCTCCGCCGCAACGCAGGGATCCTCAGAAAGGCCCAGGGTAGTCCCCAGGGAGGTCCGTTTCTGAAGATGCCTCCAGAGTTCGCGACGGCGTTGCAATCGGGACCTCATGCGAGCTCTCAAGTGAACATCAGGTCCCGCATCAGCCTCGCGCTCCAATTCCTTAGCGCGCTCATTCTGAAGACTATATCTATAATAACAGAGACCAAGTAGGTCACGACACGCGACGGCATCCAAATCGAAGGAGCGCGCAAAAGCAGGATCGGAGCGGACAGCAGTGGAGACAACGCCAGAATGACGAGAGCGGATCTCTCGCAAAGCAACCAGAACAAACAGTATATGTTCATCAGCCTTGGTGGCCGTGTCCAGCAAGTAGCTTGCGCGTGCGCTCGCGTGCCTCCCGCGTGCAGCCCTTGACTGCGCCCAACTGATCCGCGATCGGGGCGAGGCGATCCGTCTCAGACAGGGGAGCTTCCAACTCCATATGGAAACAAAAGCGCAAACCTACCCGGGGTGGGATCTTGGCGAACTCCGAAGGCCGGTATTTACGAGAGGTAGCAGTAACAGGAATATGGTCAGAGACATTGTGGGCGTTCGCCGCTTTCCGGATCACGGAGCACGCGACAACGAAGTCTGCGCGCACTGCCGAGGGCGTCGCAAGGTAGAAGCGATCGAGCCGACTGACGTGAGAAATCGCACCATTTGTAATCTCACGACGGGCGGGGCCAGGGTTGCTGCGCCCTGGTCCATCTAGGGAACTCGGCATGAGACGCGTCGTGCCGAAATCGCCCCCCCCCCCGAGCGCCGCCCCGACCCGTCCCCGCGCTGCCTCCTGCCCTCCTCTAGCGCAACAAAATCACCGCGACTCAGAACAAGCGAATCCCGAGCCCCTTGGAGCGCTTGAAGAACGAGCCTGAGAGACCGAAGGGAGGCCCATGTAGGCTCCCCGGAGGTGGGAAGGTGAACGTTCAGAACCCAATGCGAGCCTTTGCGACCGACGCACTCGGTGACCAGAACCCGATCAGCTTCAACGCATTCGCGCCACATGGGAGTGAACTGCGCGCAGAGCGAAGGGCGAGAGGAGGGGGGGCGCGCCGCCAGCAATGTCCGGGCTGTGACCATATAACCCGATAGGCCATCCGTGTAAGTCATGCTGCCATTCGCGCGCGTCCCCAGCAGCGCCGCGGGTCTTGCCAAGACAAAGGACATTGGCTCGCCGCGCGCACCCCAACCACTGCTTGTAACGACGCGTTGCCCGAAGAGAAGAATGGGCGATAGAAGCGAAGGGCGCTCCAGGGTCCCCGGCGAGGGCAGAGAGCGGGCAGGGCGGATGAGGAACAATATGGGGGCAGCATTTCAATGGGAAAATCACCGTCCTGACTGGCGCTGGAACTGGACCTGCCGCTCGCGCCGTCGCCAGAACAGTTCGAACAGAAACTCGGAGACAGGTTGAACTCTATCCCACTCTCGAGAGGCCAGGCCCCCTCCACGAACTCGTTGCCCTGGGCCCCTGGGAGGACAGAGACGAACATTTTGTCCCCAGGGCTGCCTGGCCATGCATCTTCAATCCTAGAAGGGGCGCGATGGGGCGGAATGAAAACACCCTGGAACTTCTGCCGACATTCAGGCGTGTCAGGCTTCAACTCAACTGGCCCTGACTCATCGACCTTCGCGTGACTTCGGTTCTCCTGCTGGGGGCAACAGTGCAAGTGGAAGTCAGAGGCGGGGTCCTCGCGAGAACGATGCCCGAATGCACCCCCACCTATCCTATTCGAATTAGCCTGGAAACCCACCGTGTTCAGTGACAGCACGAACCCTCCACATCTGGATGAAGAGGCGCCGATGCTGGGGCGGAAGATTCCGACGAACGCGAAGCTGCCGCATCTCCCGCAGGTAGCCCGGGTTGGGGATGGTGTGCGATTTCCTCAGCTTCCGAAAATTCATCGGGACATCAGAGGCCATGACGGGGGCGGGAAAATCGAGAGTAACCTTCTTCTTCAATTCATACGCCCGAATGCGGATGAGCTGCGCTGCCTGCGTAGTTGCGCATTTCGACGCGATGTCCTTGGCAACCCTTTCGAGCGTAGCTGCCGTCAACCTGTCCTGGAACCCGAGGATAAGAAGACGGCGGGCATCTTCAGGAAGGGGGGGGGCCCACACCTGCCGACGTGAAGCCCTCACCGGCCGGCCCTTCAACGGCGCTGCGCTTCCCGATGCCCCCATGGACAACATGGGCGGACGGAGAGCGCGAGGCCGCCATCTGCTGAGCTTGTCCTAGCGCATCCATCCTACTCTCCGCCTTCTCGAAGCGGTCAGTGAGCTCTTTGACAATTTGACCTTGTGTCCCGAGCGTGGTCATAGCCGTCGATGCCCTCTGGTTGATCATCTGGCCAATCGCAGCGAGGTGGGATTCAAGCAACATATTCCGGCCGCGCTCCTGGCCGCGCTCTCTGAATGGATCGATGGGGCGTGCGCGCTGCGGGAGAGACCAGGCGGGGGGCGCAGGCCACCTGTTGGCCAAAGACCCCCGGCCTGCCCTTCAGCTGCAGACAAGCATCGGCCACACGGCGATGGTTCCAACTTGAGCCAAGATGGCTACGGATGATGATTCTGATGATAACGATGACGATGATGATGACGGTGGTGACGGCGACGCTGATGAGTAGGATGGTTTCTGTTGTGACGGAGGGAGAACTGACCAGGTATGCGGCGTCGCTTGAAACAGCGCAGCTCGCGCCATCCACCAGGCCGTGCCACCCTCGGGCCGAGGGTAGACCACCAAGGCCACTTTTTGGATACGCATTCAATCGAAAAGCCAAACAGGCAGGACCGTAGCGAAAGGTGCGCAGCATCACCTGGGACAGCGCTGCTCGCGCTGTCCGCCAGGTCGTGCCCCCTCCAGGCGATGGAAGACCACCGAAGCCACTCCCTGTGACCTGAGGTGTGCTGTGCCACCTGTGACAGCGCAGCCCGCGGTATCAGCCAGGCCGTGCCTCCCGCAAACGCGGGAAGACCACCGAAATCACTCTCTTGAAAAGGCAACGACTAACATGAAATCGTCAAAAATCACCACATCCGTTCAGACAATCGTTCGGCCTCAATCTCTGCTGCCGCGAGCGGTCAACCAGAGATGGGGCACCTGCTGAAGTCCGTGCGCCACTGTGCATAATCATCACCACAAACCACAAGAGTGGGGACACCAGAAATACGATAACCCTCGCGCTCACCCGACTCAGGAACGACCGAGCCTTCACAGTACAAGCCGTGTCCCAGAAACTCCTGGATAATCATAGAATTATCCATGGAAACCATCGCTGAGCCCGCGAAGAAGATCGGAAGCATCGGGGCGCCCACCGCCTGCGCCAACACCATCTCCAAGGAAACGCGGGCCAGCAGCTCCTCCGCTGCCAGCCTCTGAACCTCATGAGGGCGATCGGCAAGAATAGCTTCGCCAGAAAGTTCGGCACGGCTAGCTTCACCTCGAACGGCACGGTCAGCTCCATCACAATCGGGCCTGACAGCTTCATCATGATGCTCGGCACGAACAGCTTCATCGCGAACGGCATGAACAGCGGCGCGAACATCTTCATCACGCAAGCTGGCACGAACTGCTTCATCTCGAACGGCACGAACAATTTCATCACGACCGGCACGAACAGCTTCATCACGGACAGCGTCATGACGAACGCCGCGAACAGCATCTGCACGAACACCTTCACCATGAAGATTGGCACGACCAGCGTCCTCGTAAGCAGCTGCCACGAGAGGGTCGGCAACAACAGCTCCACTATGAAGGCCGGCACGACCAGCTTCTTCACGAACGTCACGAACAGCTTCATCATGAAGATGAGCACGATCGGCGTGAACAGCTCGCTCCTCAGCAGACTGGTCGAACGCAAACGTGAGGAAGGACGGCAAAGAAAGCAGGCCAGAATACTGACGGCCTTGGGAAGAGGAAGGCCACGTTGCCAGGGACCACTCCCGTAAGGACTGTGCCAAGGGTCAGGCTGAGCCCGCCGACAATGGCGATAGCCGCGACCACGTCCACCACCAGGAGCACCGCCAGGAGAGTCAACCCGTCCATATCCGCCGCAATTTCCTCCAAGAGGCACAGCACGAACACGAGGCGCAGACACCCGTATTGCAAAACTTCGCGAGTGCCCGAGCCCTCATGTCTGTGCCCTCGGTCGACTGCGACATGTGATGTGTACCGCAGGGCGTCTGGATGAAGTCCAGCTGTGCAAGCGAAAAGTCACGCACCAATTTCGGAAACACGCAACGCACCATGACCCAGAATTCTGACCCAGCCCTGCGCCGCTGCCGCAGAGAGTGACGTGAAGCGGGACTCCAATCGCAACCAGGCGCCAAACCCAGGCAAGCCGAGCAAGGACAACCATCGCGGAGGCACTGCAGCTGCAGCGAGAAAGCCCGTGGCCCAGCAACAGCTTGGGCCAAACTGGCTATGATGATTTGGATGATGATGGTGATGTTGATGCTGGCGACGATGATGCTGATTCTGATGATGATGATGATGATGATTATGATGATGATGATGATGATGATGATGATGATGATGGTTATGATGATGATGATGATGATGATGATGATGATGCTGATGCTGATGATGATGACGATGATTATGATTATGATGATGATGATGATGATGATGATGATGATGATGATGATGATGATGATGATGATGATGATGGCGGTGGTGATGACGATGACGAGGAGGGCGAAGGAGGGGGAGGAAGAATCAGACGCGAGGCGCTGCTGGTTCAAAACGAGGACCCAACACCACAGGATGGGTGGGCACAGTGCAAAGTGCTCTTTGCACTATGGGGCGGCGGGGGGGGGCGGCATACTGCGTGCTGTGCGCATACCTGCTATCCCTGCCAACAGCTATCCTGGCGAAGGACCCAGCCATATGCAGGTGTGATTGCTGCATGGCAGGTGGGAGCAATGGGGGGCCCCCTGTGGGGCCACGAAGCGTGTGAGAGGTAACCGAAACGGGCGGGACGCCACTTGGCGGGCGCTGCCACTTGAGTTTTCGGTGGGGCTCCCTGCGGGGCTGCGAAACGCGTGAGAGGTGCACAGGAATTGAAGCAGCGGCGCCATGCGGACGCTGCGGCAGTGGCCTTCGGTGGAGCTCCCTATGATGCCACGAAGCGTGTGCGGAGCGAACCAAACTGGGGCCGGCCACGCCATGCGGGCGTTGCCTTTTGAGCCTTCGGTGGGGCTCCCTATGGGCCAAGAAGCGTGCGAAGGGTGTGCCCAAATGAGGCGGCGGCGCCGTGCTGGCGCTACCGCTCGGGCCTTCGGTTGAGCTCCTTGTGGGGCCACGAAGCGAAACAAATGTGTCCAACTGAGGCGGCGGCGCCATGCGGGCGCTGCCATTTGGGCCTTCGGTGGGGCTCCCCTATGGGACTGCGAATGGGGCGGCGGCGCCATGCGGGCGCTGCCACTTGGGCCTTCGGTGGGGCTCCCCCATGGGGGCAAGAAGCGCGTGAGGGTTGTGCCAACATGCGGCGGCGGCGGCGCCTGGCGGGCGCTGCCATTCGGGCCTTCGGTGGAACTCCCGATGGGGCTGCGACACGTGTGAGAGGTGCTCCGGAACTAAAGCAGCGGCGCCATGCGGACGCTGCGGCAGTGGCCTTCGGTGGAGCTCCCTATGATGCCACGAAGCGTGTGGGAGGTGTGCCAGACTCCGGCGGCGGTGCCATGCTGGAGCTACCATTCGGGCTTTCTGTGGAGAGCCCTATGAGGCCACGAAGCGTTTGAGGGGTGTGCTGGAATGCTCATGCGGACGGCAGAGGCAGGGATGGGAGGAGGGAGGAGGGGGAGGAGGAGAGGAGAGGAGAGGAGACGCGGGGCGCTGTCCCTTCAAAACGAGGAACCAACTTGACAGGATGGTTGGGAACACATCCAAACTGAGTGCGGATGCACACCCACACACGTTAGACATGTGCGCAGACCCGCCATCACTTTGCATGGTTTTGGACACCGATGCTGGCGCGGCTGACATATTGCCCAACGTGGCCGTGCGCGTGGCGCACCTGGCACGTGCGGCGCACCTAGCAGGCATCGCGCACCTGGCTGGTGTCGGCATCTATTCCCGATGTCGATGACGGCCCCTGCCTGTGCTGACTTACGTGCTACTTTGTAGTGAGAGGGCGGGTGGGAATGAACGACGCGGCTCGCGGCTTCGGGTACACGTCGGTCGGAAATAAGTGTAACAACATGAAGTCGGAAAACGGGTAAAAGTAGATTGGGTTCAGGCCTTCCCAGGGAATTACAAACCACAGCAAAAGCATATCGATTCTTGACTTGGGAAGGCGCTTGAAGTAGATTGGATAATGGGAATCCAGAAATACTTACTTTCAACGACCGACGAATAACTTGGCCTATCCCCTACTCCCCCTGCCGCCCCTGTCCAGGGGGGGCGGGGCACGGCGCGCTTCTGCTCCCCTGCTTGCGGTCCACCTCCGTGATGACCTCAAGCAAGCGGTCGTAGATCGCAGGGAAGCGCCTGCGCAGCCAGCCGCCAGTGTGCATATGCCAGGTGCTCCAAGGTCCGTTGGGGCGTTCCCTGGCACGGGGCCCAGAAATGACCAGGACCAGGACCTCCTTCGCCCCCTCCCCCTCCCCCCCTATCGCTCCTCCTCCCTCCTCTTCTCTTCCCCTGTCCCCTCCCATCTCCTCCCATTTTCCCGTCCTGTCCCTGAAGGGGGGAGGGGGGGGCAGTCCTCGGGGATCCATTGGCCCGGGTCAAGCCAAACCCGGGTCAGGCGGGCCGTGCAAAATCCTGCAAGGCCAATCGCCTGAATATCCACCTCAGAAACGCACATCAAAACACCACCGGTAAGACGAGTTCGCATCGTCATGTTGAATCCCCGGGGGGCTTTGTCTGCCCCGTCACGGCCCTATCCGCGTCGAATTCCTGCCGAATCTATGTCGGACTCGTCAGGTCCGCGTCGAATCCGCGTCGAATCCGCGTCGAATCCACACCAAATCCGCGTCGAGTCCGCATCGAGCCCGCGTCGGGCCAAATAAAAGACGCCAATTTTGAGGACGGGCGAGGTCCCCAGACGATGTAACATAAGCATCGGTCAAGAAAGAACTGAAGGAGGCGACGGTCAAGCTCGCCGTCGTCGAACCGGAGGCGGCGAAGGGTCTGATTCACCCAAAGGCAAACCGCCAGGAGTGCCAGCGCCTCGATTACAACCAGCTCGCACACTGAGTCCGAGAGCGGACAGCAGGCCTCGCCGAACGCGCCGTCAACCAAACATGCGAACGTGGCCGAAATGTTGGCTACTGGTGCCGGGGACGGGCCTCGAATGGAGGACAGGCCGGTATACCCAAAATTGAAGAGGCGGCCTGCAAAGGCAGCAACGCGCAACGAAAATGTGTTACGAATTACTGCGACACCAATCGCCTGGAGACATGCGGTCAACGTTGCTCGAAATTAACATACTGGTAACCACTCTGCTCAAATCCAATCGCGTGGAGCCTCGTGCATAGCGGCCCTGCAGACAACCGTCATGATGGCCACTGATGAGCGCCGGGTAGCGAAGACGGAGCTGAAGGCCACGGGCCCGCTGGCCGTTTTGGAATGGGTGGCGGCGAAGGGGTCCAAGAGTGGCGAGATCAGATGCCTGGAGATTATCCACCTGGAGTCCAACCAGCTTCTTCTGCTTTCCCTGTCACTAACCACTGCGGAAACAACCGCCTACGGACATGGCGTCTTGGAGTCAACTGTGACACCAAACGCCTGGAATCAAACTTTCGCGAGACCAACCGCTGGGAGTTCAGCGGCAAGTCCAGCCCACTCAGGCCCAGTCCAGGCCGGCGAGCATGCTAATTAGTCAAATGCCACCAGTTGGCGCAGGAGGAGGAGGAGGAGGAGGAGGTGGAGGAGGAGGAGGAGGAGGAGGAGGAGTTAAAGTAGCCTGAAAGGGGCGAGAGGAGGGCAAGCGGGCACGACGTGAGAAGAGGGCAACTGATGTCTCTCCGCGCGTCCCTGCTGTGCACCTAAGTCCTCGCCGCAGCGGTGCTTTAGCTGCGGCCGGCGCTTCAACAATGCGTGCAGGAGACGGCGCTGCAAATTGTTTCATTGTGTTGCCCATGTGAAAAGTAAGCGCTGCCCTGCGAAGCGTCTGCCGCAATGAGAGGTCGCGCTCAGGCTCGGAAGGGAACGCACCTGCGGGGCCCACGCCCAAAGACGTAACTGCGCTGAGGAGCGGGTGAGCGTCGGGGGACCAGAGGAGGCTCGAGAGGGCGGAGCAAGAGAGGTAGTGGGAAACGAATCTGGTGCACTCGGGCACCCGAACACGCATGGCTTCGGGGCGAACGCGTGCACGCGGTGGGCGGTGGCCCACCCGTCGCTGAGCGTTTAAGACCGCCCAGCGCCAACTGGGGCGGACCTCTGCGAGGGCTTCGGTGAGAGCGGACCAGCGCCTGGCGAGCTCAGGAGGCAGCGGTGGCTGCAGGATGCCCCGCGATACGAGGCGCTTCTGAAGAGTGACAATGGGTTGTAAGGAAAAGCAGGCGCGCATGAGCGAGCGCGCGGCCGCTCGCTGCATCTTCGGGTGGCGATGCGGCTCGGCGGAAGCGGCCTCTCGAATTTCCCGAGCGGCGGCGCGTTTCGCGGCGGTCGCGGCAGCAACAGGAAACGGGGCGACACGCTGGCCACGCGACAATGCGTGGTATAACTGTACGATGGACCTGTTCTTTTTCTCCCAGAACAGAGGGGACCAGTGGCCCGCGACCCACCTGTGGAGGGAGTGCACCGTGCTATCCTCCCGTCCAGTGTCTTGGAGGCGGGCGTGGGAAGGTTCCCATTCTCCGCGCAGCGTGAAAGAGGCCGAACGAATTGCGGAGGCGGCGGCAGTAACTTGAGCTGAACGTGGGAAAGGAAGCGGGCTTCATTCCGCCATGGTGATTAGGTCTACTTTGCGAAGAGAGTTCGGCGGCATGCTGAGCATGTTGTGGAGGATATAGATTCTCGGCGTGCAATCTTCGGGTCCAACAGAAAAACATGGGCGACGTAACTGAACGTGGAACAGGACAGAAGAGTTGTAGAACCGCACTTGGCCCAGATACCGAAAAGCCACCCCGGGCGGGGCAGAGATCGGCCAGGGGCGTTTTGGTTGGGGCTGCGGTGGCAGGGGTGAGAGGTGCCCAGAGCGGGGGCAACAACGCATTTGCGAGGCCTGAGAGAGAGAGGAGCGCAAGCTCCTCAGTAGCGGCGAATGGCTCAGAGGCGCGGCGTGCAGAACGAGAACGCGAGCAGGCCCATGTCGTCAGCGCAGCATCCCAGGTAGCCCTCATCGTGGTCGGGCGCGCCGTCAGCGTGTTCGACGAAGGAAGCGATGTGGCGGACGTGCGGGTCCATCGCGATGGCCCGGGCCGACCCGCCAGCAGGGCATCCTTGAGCCGCGCCAAATTCGATCGCGAACGTGAAATGGCGAGCGCCATCAAC